GTATGGCAGTGTATGGCAGTGTATGTACAGTGTATGTACAGTGTATGGCAGTGTATGGCAGTGTATGTACAGAGTATGGCAGTGTATGTACAGTGTATGGCAGTGTATGGCAGTGTATGTACAGTGTATGACAGTGTATGGCAGTGTATGTACAGTGTATGTACAGTGTATGGCAGTGTATGGCAGTGTATGTACAGTGTATGGCAGTGTATGTACAGTGTATGTACAGTGTATGTACAGTGTATGGCAGTGTATGTACAGTGTATGTACAGTGTATGGCAGTGTATGGCCAGTGTATGGCCAGTGTATGGCAGTGTATGTACAGTGTATGGCAGTGCATGTACAGTGTATGTACAGTGTATGGCAGTGTATGGCAGTGTATGTACAGTGTATGTACAGTGTATGGCAGTGCATGTACAGTGTATGTACAGTGTATGGCAGTGTATGGCAGTGTATGTACAGTGTATGTACAGTGTATGGCAGTGTATGGCAGTGTATGTACAGAGTATGGCAGTGTATGTACAGTGTATGGCAGTGTATGGCAGTGTATGTACAGTGTATGACAGTGTATGGCAGTGTATGTACAGTGTATGTACAGTGTATGGCAGTGTATGGCCAGTGTATGGCCAGTGTATGGCAGTGTATGTACAGTGTATGGCAGTGCATGTACAGTGTATGTACAGTGTATGGCAGTGTATGGCAGTGTATGTACAGTGTATGTACAGTGTATGGCAGTGTATGGCAGTGTATGTACAGAGTATGGCAGTGTATGTACAGTGTATGGCAGTGTATGGCAGTGTATGTACAGTGTATGGCAGTTCTAAATCCATTGTTTAAATGATGGGATTTATATCTTTAATGTGCAAACATATTCTTATTTTTATGTTTTTGAATTGTTCATCCTCAGACTTAGACCAAACGCTTTGGATTGTTTCCAACACAAGTGGATTCGGGTAAGCAGTTTTTCATTTGAAGGAACAGAAAAGAAGCAAATTAAATTAAATTGTTTTCCATATTTTCCAGTTTTTTACTTTTGTTCTTCTTGAATTTTGATTTAATTGTTGTAGTAATACTCTGTGTGTATTAACACAATTAGAAATATGTCATTTTCCAATGGTATGCATTCAATGAATTGACCTGTAGATAACATGGTTTCTGAATTATGAAATAATATGTTTCAGGAGGTTTCCAGCTTACAGGGCACACATCCTATCCACACCAAGAGCCTGAAATTCTTTGTAGCACGGAGTCGGTGGCAGGTCAGTAACTGTAGCACTCAATGAATGGACCTGGATTACTGTGGAATTTGCCTTCCTATAAAGCAAGAGTAGCACCTATATCTGTATAAACATTAATTTTAGAGATGTTGCGGTTTCTGCACTGTGGTTCCCATGATGTTTGCCCAGCCTAATCCCATCTGGGGAGCCATGCTGAGCCATCACTTTCCTGGAGACATGGTTGCCATTCTTTACCTTCTTTCTGCTGAGTCAGAAGTTGTGTTATTTAATCTACAACCACCTATTTCTGTTGAGATTTGATATGTTTTCAGTGAATAGCCAATTGTACATTTGTAAATGTATGATTTACCCTTAAATATCAGTGAATATCCGTGTCCTGATTATTTTAATCAAAATCCATAGTATTTATAGTATTTCTATGTTATAGTTACAGATTTAATTTGTATGCTGCCTTCTCGTTCCAGCGTTCCTTAATGTGCTATAAGTCCATACTGGTGATGAGATCCATTCCAGACCTTCTGCAGGGTAACATGGACAGCACCTCACTGGGTGTCCCCAGGCACTTGATGGAAAATAGCAGTTCATCATCCAGCAGTGGCTCATCTTCTGATAATGACAGTGATATCAGTCCCACCGCTAGAGATTGTAACCCTTCACTTGAGTTGCACTTATCCATCTTCAAAATGACGGAGCAGGACCAACTTCAACAACAAGGTCTGATAGAAACAATAACTACCGGAGATAAAGATGGTCTTATGGAGAAAAGAAAGATGGAACATAGAGAAGCAACCATTGCTTATACTGTGTCTGGTGATCAACAGGAAACTCCTAAAGTCGTTGGGTTGGGTAATAACAAAGTCAAGTTGGAGGAGGCAGAAGAAATGTTAGTTGATTCTGTGCAAACATCGCCAAGTAAACCACCTTTATTCAAAGCAGCAACTATTGAGGTTGGTGACCTTAAATCAAAAAAAGGGAGAACAGGGCAGTTTGTTAGAGGTTCCTCTGCAGACAGTGTATTACCAGTGGAAGCAGGAGTCAACAAACCACAATTAGTGTGTGTACCAAGGCAAAGTATAATTAGCAGCACCTTCTATAACCAAGTAAGTGAAGGCCCTGGTTTAGCTCCCCAGGAAGGGTCAATGAAGGAGAAGGATTTCATCAAACATCGTGAACGAGCACGAAGGAGTTTAATGAAAGCAGGATATTCACCAAAAATTTTAAGTGGTCTACGAGAGCCTCTGCTTGAGCAGTTTGCAATGGAACAAAGGTTAGCAGGACATGACCAGGCATTAACTGACCAAGATATTCTATCTGGCTCTTTGAAAAAGTCAGTTTCATTTGATACAGCAAAGGGTTCATTAAGGTCATCTTTTAGAGCCTCTACCAGAAGTCGCTCTCTTGATGACAGCAAATCAAGACCTCTAAGTATTTATAAGGGACCTCTGACAGAGGAGTCAGATCCTGGCCACTCTACGGATGCAAAACTTCCAATTAGGACAACTGATATTGAAATTAAATCTCATTCTAAAGAACCTTTACTGTCAGACAATCAACTTAAGCATCTATCTGAACCAAATATAGAAAGGCCAATGTGGCAGGACAGTAATCAGCGTCCACTGCCCTTTTTTACTCAGTCAACACAAAGACCACTTTCTGCAGGGTCCATGGGGAATGAAAATACAATTATTGCAGTTTTACATCAACATCCTCTGCTGGATACTGTTTCAATCAAAGAAAAACCATCACCTGCCACACTTGAGGAAGAAGAAAGTACCATAATAGCATTTGTCAAACAAAAGAACCTGCCAGTTTCAGAGGCAACCGAACTGCCTGCCAACACATCCGAAACAGATGCCAAGAAACCCTTGGTGACACCATCTGGAAATAAATGCATCAATGCAGTCAGTGGAGTGAATCTTACCATCCAAACAATCCCAGATAGTGATTCTTTCCTATTTCCATACACCCGAGAAGAAACTTTGCCTGCACCATTTCTGTACAAGCAGGTCTTGACAAAAGAAAAAAACATGAATGAGGATCATCAGATATTTCCAGAACCTGCCATTGAAGAGAAAACACATGCCGTGCAATTTACCGATGACCATATAAGTATAGCAGTGATTCATCAAGGACCCATGGTCACTTCCCCTATATTTGAAGAACATTTACCTACTGAGCAACTCAGTGGTAACATAGCCCAACCCATAAACATGGTACAGGTAGTGGCTACCACAAACATAGATATTCAACCACAAATTCTTACATCTACAGGACAAGTGGTAGAGGGGAAACCTGCTGATACACATACAACAGATCTGCACTGTGGTTATCTTCCTGTTGGCCAAACACTAGCAATGAAGAACCAGCATGATTCACAAGATATACCTCTTGAAGAAAATATATCTCTTGACATTGTACATCATGTATCTGAACATAGTCTAGACAATAAAGCAAAATGCTCTCCTGCTATAATAGCCAAACTTGAATTAAAGGTTGACAGCCATAGTGTAGAGAAGGAGTTCCAGCCCTCTATTTACAGTGCATTAGAGAGCCTGGTTGGAGAGATGGCTGATCTGTCAGAAGAGATGGATGTATTGGCTGATCAACAGGAGCAGATGCCCCATGTAGACCTTCCATTTCCATTAGTTGAAGACCAGTCTTCAGCACCATTAGAAATGCAAAAGGAAGGATATAGCATTGAAAATTACTGTGCTATGGAGACAGAACCATCAATAATGCAGTCAAGTCCATCAGATCAAACCACAAAAATATCACAAGCCACATCAGTTTCACAATGCAGCTTATATGAGACCCTCTATCAGGTCCGACCCTCTACTCTGACCTCAGAACAGTTTGAAGAGTTCACCATTGAAAGCCGCAGCTCCAGCAAAACACTTATCTCACACTCTGACAGTACAGGAACAGGGAGAAGGTCAGACAATTTCTCTGACTTTGATGAGGCAGGAAGGCAGTCGGAGGTCTCTCTGGTGGAGATTGGAGAATTGCATTATGGCAATGCAGCTACCAGTTCAGAGCATTTAAACATCGAGACTGCACATTCCCAACTCTTTGAATTTTTTGATATTGAAACATTCCCTTTAGAATCCAAAGAAGATGAGAAATGTCCCACAGCTGATGGCAAATTTAGTTTGTTGTCTCAGATTTCACAACCAGCCAGCGACTTTAGGCAAGGATTGAAAGAAAAGGAACCACAAGTAGCGAAGGACCTAGAATTCCATTCTTCTACCCCATTGCAGTCACTGCAGCCATCAGATCCTGGCAAAGCCAAAGCTAAGGAGAGAAAAGGTTCCAGTTCACGGAAACGGATAAAACTCTTTCGACCTCATGGAAAGTCAGAGTCAGCAGGAAAGTCCTCCGATCAAAGTCTTAAGCAGAAAATGAGAGCTTCGGTGGCCAATATTTCCCGGATAATCAAAGGAAAGCAGGGGAACGGACATGAAAGGAAACAAAGTGAATCCCAATCTGGTAAATTCAAGTTAACTTTTCATTTAAATGAAACTGTAGAGTAACCAATAGTAATTAAAAATGTCTTGTTTTGTTAATATTTTGAATTATTCAGAAATTTTTAAGATAGTTCTAATTTTTCAATCAATGTTTCATTTTTAGAATATTTATGGATTGTAATTAGTGATGTCCCGAATGGTTCGCCGAACGGTTCGCCACGGATGGCGAACATATGCGCTGTTCGGTCCGCCCCCATGTCATCATTGAGTAAACTTTGACCCTGTACCTCACAGTCAGCAGACACATTCCAGCCAATCAGCAGCAGACCCTCCCTCCCAGCCCCTCCCACCTCCTGGACAGCTCACTAAGAATGCAGCTTCAAAATGGATGCTGTCCAGGAGGTGGGAGGGTCTGGGAGGGAGGGTCTGCTGCTGATTGGCTGGAATGTGTCTGCTGACTGTGAGGTACAGGGTCATATGTTCACCGTCCGCGGCGAACCGTTCGGGACATCACTAATTGTAATATGTTCTTGTTTGGCCGCTTGATTGTTTGTTTATCTTTTAAAATACATAGTAAATCCCAAAAATCACTCTGGAGATATTGGGCCACAAATAGCCACTTATTGGGAAATCAACTGGTATCGTGGTATTCATGGAGTTGACCAACTTTTAAACAACACTTGTACTCTTTAGGAATATTTCCCATTGACTCGTATTTATGAAATATTTATGAAATAATTACCTTTATAGGGACGTGAGAAAGGAGAGCATTAAAAGGACTTGCATCACGTGACACATTTGTTATAAACCCGCAAGCACATATAAACTAATAAACAAACTAAAATAAAGCAATACAAGTTCAAAAAGCATGTAGTAAAATTACTAAACATTTATAAATGTACTGTAAACTTTGGCAGTCAGGCACGCCTCTTACTTTATTTGTGTATCTCACTTTTTCCCTCCTTTATCTCTTTATCACTTTTTTTTTTCTCTGGCCTCTGCGTCTCTCTGTTCCCTCCATAGCTCCTGTGTCTTTTATTTTTCTTATCTGCTCATTTATCTGACAATTCTCTCTCATTTCAATACAGTCAGTGACTCTCCCTGATGCTGTCTGGGAGATCCACAGGGAAATCCAACAGATCTCTTGAAAGTTCTAGAAAGAGATAATATTGCATGCATATCCCGGGTGAACATGGATACTTGAGTCAAGGAAGGCAGTAGATACAAGTGTGTTATCTATACCAGTACAAAGCAGGAGGATTATTAGGCAGATATGAGCCACCGTGTGCAGCCAATGGGTGACAAGTTCTCTGCAATGCTTGTCTCTCACTCGCTGTCTTGCCTTATAATATTAAAAAGTATATAAATGCTTTCAGCAAATTAGCACTAGCCCTTCATTAAACTGTTAGGTAAAAGCATCTTACCTAATCATATATACAGATAGAGCCATCAAATAGAGTTCATCTCCATCAGGTGAATGGATATCCTGCTTTGTGAGGTCTGTGTGTGACATCATAGTTACAGAATCCTGACTGGGCTCCTGTGAATGGATGTGCTGCATTGTGAGGTCAGTGTGTGAGATCATAGTTACAGACTCCTGCCTGGCTCCTGTGAATGGATGTGCTGCATTGTGAGGTCAGTGTGTGGCATCATAGTTACAGAATCCTGACTGGGCTCCTGTGAATGGATGTGCTGCATTGTGAGGTCAGTGTGTGAGATCATAGTTACAGAATCCTGCCTGGCTCCTGTGAATGGATGTGCTGCATTGTGAGGTCAGTGTGTGGCATCATAGTTACAGAATCCTGCCTGGGCTCCTGTGAATGGATGTCCTGCATTGTGAGGTCAGTGTGTGACATCATAGTTACAGAATCCTGCCTGGGCTCCTGTGAGTGGATGTGCTGCATTGTGAGGTCAGTGTGTGACATCATAGTTACAGAATCCTGCCTGGCTCCTGTGAATGGATGTGCTGCATTGTGAGGTCAGTGTGTGACATCATAGTTACAGAATCCTGCCTGGGCTCCTGTGAATGGATGTCCTGCATTGTGAGGTCAGTGTGTGACATCATAGTTACAGAATCCTACCTGGGCTCCTGTGAGTGGATGTGCTGCATTGTGAGGTCAGTGTGTGGCATCCTAGTTACAGAATCCTGTCTGGGCTCCTTTGAGTGGATGTCCTGCTTTGTCATGTTAGTGTGTGACATCATAGTTACAGAATCCTGCCTGGGCTCCTGTGAATGGATGTGCTGCATTGTGAGGTCAGTGTGTGAGATCATAGTTACAGAATCCTGCCTGGGCTCCTGTGAATGGATGTCCTGCATTGTGAGGTCAGTGTGTGACATCATAGTTACAGAATCCTGCCTGGGCTCCTGTGAGTGGATGTGCTGCATTGTGAGGTCAGTGTGTGACATCATAGTTACAGAATCCTGCCTGGCTCCTGTGAATGGATGTGCTGCATTGTGAGGTCAGTGTGTGACATCATAGTTACAGAATCCTGCCTGGGCTCCTGTGAATGGATGTCCTGCATTGTGAGGTCAGTGTGTGACATCATAGTTACAGAATCCTGCCTGGGCTCCTGTGAATAGATGTGCTGCTTTGTGAGGTCAGTGTGTGACATCATAGTTACAGAATCCTGCCTGGGCTCCTGTGAATGGATGTGCTGCTTTGTGAGGTCAGTGCGTGACATCATAGTTACAGAATCCTGTCTGGGCTCCTGTGAGTGGATGTGCTGCTTTGTGAGGTCAGTGTGTGACATCATAGTTACAGAATCCTGCCTGGGCTCCTGTGAGTGGGTGAGTGCATTTTGAGTGTGGCAAAACCAGCCTCGCCACTGGGCATTGGAGAAGACTGATTGCCAGCCTCCTGCCATGTGACTATGGCCCCTGGGTTGTATTGCCCTTTAAGAAACTTATTTGGGCTTATTGGATTTTGAAACACTTTTTTCTGCCCCTTTGAATACATGGGAAGGTGTGCCCCTCCCCCGTTTCCTGTCTATTGTTCTCCAGCAGGGCGTTGTCCCAGGGACACTGCCAGACCAGCTGGAACTTGCTTTTTTTTTGCCCCTCCTTTGTCTCTCAACAGCCCTTGCTCTGGTTTAAACCCATGGCGATTTGACTGTGTTCATGGGATCTGAGCGCTGTTCGGATATAGTGAGCGCTCAGATCCAAGCTATCTGGGGATAGGTTGAATGTGGGGGTTCTGTTCAATATAATGGGATTTATGTATTTTTAGGTATTTTACTGTTGTTGTAAATGGAGATATGCCCTGTACTGGAGATAAGTAAGTTACCACACCTAACTTTTAAACCACTGGAGGGAATTGTATGATTTTTGAGTATGTTTGTATATGGAGTATCCTGATTCTGAAAATGTATGTGAATGGCATGTATATTTTTAAAGTTATTAATATTGTGTAAAAACTGTATATTTTCTGCCTGTGATAATTAAGTTAGTCTATTGTGTTGAGATAATTGTATGACAGGCAGAGGGGAGGATTTCTGCTGGTATGAATGGGAGTGTTTAGCTGTGTTGTAACGTATTGATTGGTTGTTCTTCAAAACCCCGTGGTCTGTACTATGTTTGTAAAATGGGCATAAAAGCAGAGTGTTGGATTAAAGTGGATGTGATGCTTTGTGAGGTCAGTGTGTGACATCATAGTTACAGAATACTGACACTGGGCTCCTGAGAGTGGATGTGCTGCTTTGTGAGGTCATCCTGGAATGATATATTTACAGAATTCATCCGTTTTGCTCCTCAGACTGGATATGCTACGATTCAGCATTCAGAGATACAGAATCCTATGAGTGGACTCCTGTGCGTGAATGTACTGCATTGTTGGGTCAGCCTTAAATGACATCAAAAATACAGAAATGTAAAAGAACAAACATGCTGGTTATACATATTCTGTATCCACTATATAAAGTTATTTGTGTGTGTGTGTCTGTGTGTTTAGCTTTACACTTCCCTGCCGAAGCCTTCAAAAAGGGCGATATCTACATTACAGTCAATACAATGCCCTCAATAAATAAATCTGGACAATACCAGCTCATTATATGCTGTAGTCTAGCCCTTAGTCTGTGGTACATTACAGGAAGCATAATTAAACAGGCAGTGGAGCATTTTATGTTTGATCTGTCAAAAATGGAGGTTCATCTGCTTACCAACTAAGTGCATTTCTATCTTAGGTTCCACTAAAGTGACTGAGGCTGAGCAGACAGAGCAAGCATCCTCTGGGAGACCACCCAGCCAAGCCAAGAAGAAGCCCACCTTCCCTTCATTCAAACTTCCCAATCTCTCAGCAAAGGACAAAGGTAGCTGCTGCTGATCCGAACGATGGGGAAACAATCTAAAAGCCATTCCAGCTGTGTCAGAAACAAGAAAAAAAATCTCTTAGTTATGGTGGTGTAAATCTTCTGGCTCACATCCCTTATTCTAACTTACAAGAAATACAGGGGGCCATGTATAAAAAGTGCCATTTTCTTATCTATAAAAATGTTTTTCTACCCTTTATAAATTTATTACTTTTTTCTGCCTTTTCTGTAATGTGTCAAAATGATCCATCTACCCTCCACACTGATAGAACACTGCTTTTGCTGGCGTGGTCTCTTCCTAAAGGAAAAAAAAAGGTAAAACGTACCTTACGTTCTCCGTGCAACCCAATTCTGCTGTAAGGGGGAGGGACATCCCAGAGTATAGACTGAGGGGAGGACTTGAAAAGGACAGAGGAGGAGACCATGCCACCACTGGTCGTCTGTCGTCAGCATTCTACGAGAGATGACAGACATCCAGTATAGACAGAACTGATATTAATCTATTGTTCTGGTGGCTAAAGACGCTGCCTCAGACACTTTAAATTGAAACGCAGCACATAAAGGCTTCAAGCACTTAAGTGATCATGGTGCTAGGAGTAACCCCTTAAACAAAAAGGACGATAGTGACCGCCATTTTCCTGTCACTCTGACAGTGGTTTAAAAATGTATCGAAAAGAAAAAGTGCACTTTTCCACTTCTTTTTTTATACATTGGAAGCAACAAATTTGTAAACTAAAAAATATTCACAAAAAAGGAAATAACATGACGAAAGAGGTGGAGTAAAGAATATTTTAGCACAGATAAAGAACTAAATAGGTTCAAGTGGGAAATGAACAAGAAAACCAGCCTAAAACTTGAGCAAAGCACTTTTTATATATAAAACCCCCAGAGTGAACACCCCACTAATATTTATTTTTAAGATTTATTAGGTATACACCACAAAGAAAACGTGCATGTTTTTTTCTACACGTTGTCTTTTGGGATGTATGAAAAAAGAGCTGACAAATCTGCAGATCTGCTGTCTGCAGCCTGTGAAAGCCCCTTTATGCCCAGCAGAGACTCTCAGGGAATGTACCAATCATAGACTGCTCACGGAGAGCTGTGAATGCACCAGTGCACACTTTCCTATGTAATGCAGCTCATTGAGTAG